CTTGGGTTTTGGGCCAGTGAGCCTATATAGTAGGTAACTGGAGGGTTAGGGATCGGATTCGGGTGTAGAGCGGAGGGTTTAGGGCCGTGTCAAGGCTCGGTGGGAGCTCTGTTTCCGGACCCGGGCACCTCAGGGATGTAGGGTTTAGGGTTTCGGGGTTTAGGTTTTAGGGTTCTGGGGTTTAGGGTTTAGGGTTCAGGATTGAGGGGTTTAGGGTTTAGGGTTTCCGGTTTAGGGGCTTAGGGTTTAGGGGTTGAGGGGTTCGGGTTTCTTGGTTGTTTCTGGGTTGTTGCATCGGGGCAAAGCGTGGACAAACTGGAAAAAGCTTGTGCCTCGTGGAGCTGAGGTGTTGAGAAGAACCGCGTGGACTGCTGCTGCTGCCACTTGACTTTTCCCAATCAAGGGACTAAGGGAGGGACCGCCAAAGGGACCCTTGGGGTTATATAGGGGCTTTATGAGACTATATAAGGGTTACAAAGGGTATTAGGATTAGGGGTTCCTTCTGGGGGTCCCTCCGATTGTCCCTTAACCCAAGGATCCTAAGTACCTACATAGTAGAAAGCAGGGTTGTTGGGTAAGTATCCCCCATGTAGATACTTACGATCCTTCGGGTGTGCTCGTGGATATCCCAAACCCGTGACTGATTGAGGTTCCGGATTCTTGCCATAGCTCCGACCCTCGACATATGGGTCGTTTTCTAAATTAGGGTCCCTTTTAGGGTCCTTTTTATGAGGGTGCCGTACTATATTGGGGACCCAAAAAGGGGACCCTGCTAGACAACTCTAAACCCTAAACCCTAAACCCTAAACCCTAAACCCTTTTTAAACAACTGAAATCAGAGGCTTCCGTGTGGCCGAGCGCCCTCTGGACGAGCCGAAGGGCTGCTGCTGCACCTGGTCTCAAAGGTCAGAACCCTAGGGTTTAGGGTTTAAGGTTTAGGGTTTAGGGTTTAGGGTTTAGGGTTAGAGAACTTCTCATAAATCAGAAACCAGCCACCCTAAGCCCTGCACAAGTGGACGAGACCATGGACTTGGGGGAACTTTGTTAGC